ATATATATATATATATATATATATATATATATATATATATATATATATATATATATTTTAAAAATGGGAAAAAGCAGAAAAAGGAAGCGTCAACGGAGACACTTTAGGAAGAAGGACAGAGAAGAGCAGTGTTCCCTGCTCACAAGTCTGTCTTCAGGATCCTGGCATAAGGGACTGGTGTAAGTAGAGGACCAAAATTATTCACAGCTAAGTACTTCTGGTGAAGGTGTTGTCCTACCTGTTTTCTCAGTTGCAGCCTTGTCTCACCACAAGGCCAAGATCTCCTGACAGAGAGTCGTCTGACAAGTTGTTTTTCCCTGGAGCCTCACTCTTCTATTTGACACAGGACTTCAACTTTTCTTCTTTCCAAAGTATAAAATTCCTGGAGAACCGATTTCTTTGGGGGGGGGGGGGCGTACATTCTCTCAATAATCTGATAGCCAAAGGAAGGGGAAACAAGTGTCTCTTTAGAATTGTTTTATTCCTGCCAGGCAAGTTACAATACCAAAATATGGGGAAGCTCAAAGTAGACGCATTTCTTGTTTCTTCATGCTTGAGAAAACATCAGAAGGGGGAAAAAATTACAATTTAGAAGAAAGCATTCCACATTTTGTTAAACCCACTTTGATATTTCTCAGAGATAACATGTCAAGCATCTGTCTTACCAGCTTAGGACCTGACTTACATTGCAACCTTAAAATGTGTTTTAAATCATCTCTACACCAAGTTTGAATTCTGCAATTCCCAATTAATCACCATGAACCCAAACTTCAGAAAATGATGATGGCTCGGTTATCTTCAGGCTGATAATCCCAAGAATTTTGCAGGGTACCCCTCATGGATGAACCACTGCTGCTTAAACATTCCGGAGCAGCAACAGGGAAGCCTCATCCTCTCTTTTCTTCAGCATGTAAGTATGTATGCAAACCCACTATTCCTATCTAGAAGGCAATCAGAGATAGTGTTAGGTAGCTAAACAGAGACGGCAGCTTTGAACCCTACCTCCCATTTCCAAGGTAACACTAGGAAGGTAACTGTCAACCTTACTACTCCTTAGGCCTGCTGGTTGAAAGAATGGAATACCCCTGGTCCTGGGTGGAGACATGACGTTTTGATCTGCCTCAAAGATTACAGCATAATATACTATTATTTTTTTTTGAAAGAGTTAATTCAGCTGGGCCTGTCAATCATCTAGCTAGGAGTGTCAATCTTCTAGCTTGGAGATTACTCCTCAAGAAAGCTGGTTCACCCTGGGACAGGCTAAGGAGAGGGGAAGAACGAGATAATGTGCTTATCACGCTCTGACTTTTCCTTTTCCTCTTATCTCTTCTTCTGGCCCAAATCCTAAGAATGCTTTCCCTGATACTCTGGGATTTCTCATTCTATCTCTGGAACCCTCTTCCACTTCTCTCATGCAAATACCTGCCTGCCATTTGGCTGTTGCTCACCTCCATTGCTAAGCCTGACTGTTTTGTTTGTTTGTTTTTTTTTGGGGGGGCAGCATATTAGCTACTTTTTTTTGTATGTGTGTGGTGAAATGCTATAGCCAAAAACAACTTATAGAAGAAAGAGTGGCAGGGAAGGCACGGCTGACTGCATCTTTTTCCATACATGGAAAACAGAGAGACCAGACGGGAACTAGGGTAAGTCTATGAACCTCAAAGCCCACCCCCAGTGATATAGTTCCTCCAACAAGGCTGCATCTCCCAAAGGTTTTATCACCCTCCCCAACAACACTACCAAGCAGGAACCAAGTGTTCCTACCTGTGAGCCTACGGGAGACTTTCTCATTGACCACGACAGACCCTCATTTAAAGGCATGGCTGTCCCTCTTTTCTCTTCCAAACAGTTGCTTTGGTTTTTCAGTTTGCTTGCCCTGTTGATTTTCTCTCAAACTCTAATAATTGTCTTTGAGCTTATTTCTGAGTGCATTCTAAATACATTTGTTAGCACAACAAAGAGCTTACATTCTTCATTTTTCCAATGTGGTGATAAAATTCCATCATCTGGGAAACCGGACCTTTGGAGAACTCAGGTTTATTATGCCTGTGGCTGTAGCTGAGCAAATGCTCTGAGGAGCTGGGTCCCAACCCATAGTTTCTAGTAGCACTTACAGGTAATGTAGCATCGTTCTCAACTTTTCTATTATTGGTGGGTTAGTTTTAGCCTACTTAACCCGGGGGGTCATAAGACTCCTATCCAGCCTGTTTACAGAAGAAGAACCAGTAAGGTTAGCACAGCTATTTTGCAAATGTCTGTTCTCTAGATAAGGGAAGTGGGGGTTTTCAGCTGCGGCAGGAAGTGAGATTACAGAAGCAGATCACAGCACATCACAGTCTGTTTTAGCCCTAAATACAATAAAAATTTAACTTTCTCTAACCCTCCTCATCACCATGACAAAAAGGCATTTTATGGAAGAGCTTTTCTTGGTTTATGGTTCAGGAGGCTAGTCAGTCTACCACAGTTGGGGGGTGGGGAGGCATGGCAGCCAGCAGCAGGCCTGGCAGCTGGCGCAGAAAGCTAAGAGCTCACAGTTTCAATCCCAAGCACAAAGCAGAGAGAGGTAACCCACAAGTGGGACAAGGCTAGAAACTCTCAAAGCCCAGACCCTCTTGCAAGGCCACACCACCTCCCACACAAGTGATCAGAGACTTGAGGATATGGGAGATAGTTATCCTAACCCACTACAGACCCTGAAAGAGGGAATCTCAAATTTCCAAAATAATGATAATTTATTATTACGTATTTCAGATTTCACCAAATACTATGTAGAGACAGTTTTTTAGAAATAGGACAAAGAAAGCTATAAACCAAGATACTTTTCAGATCCATTGATGGAAACATCAGACAGAGTAGGGAAATCTCTGCCAGGGAGGCGCTGGACCTGCAACTTTCCAGCCTCTCTGCAATCGTTAAAGAACTAATCCAGCCATTCATGGTAGCGCTTGTCTTTAATCCCTGCATTCAGGAAGCAGAGTCTGTTCAAGGCCAGCAAGATGTTCATACAGAGTTCCGGGACAGCCAGGGCAACAGGAAGCCTTATCTCAAACAAACAAACAAACAAACAAACAAACAAATCTCATCAGTTTAGCAGCCACGTAGAAAGTTCAGTACAGTAGGAGGTGTAGTTGCTTTGTAGAAATTTTTATCTACGTAAGCAATTTAGAAAAATCAACATGTCTTTGAAGAATATGAAAAACTTATTTCCCTTATAGAAAGGTTTATGGGCCTTCTCTTTCCTGGCTTTTACAGTCTCTGTGAATTCTGCTCTGTACAGGCAATTCAGTTGGCCTGCCTTCAGGGTCCTAGCAACATCTTTCTTCATCACCTGCCTGTCACCACCAGGTGCGCCAGGTGTGTGCTGGGATAAAAGGACCCGCCCGCCAACCCAGCTCTCTCTAGCCCTGTGTCTTTCTCTGTCTCTCTCTGTGTTTCAGCTTCCCTCTGTCCCCACGTTCTCTTTCTCTGTCCCTGTCTGTCTACCTGTCCAATCATCTGCATCTCCCTCTCTTCCTGGAGGCCCCAACTCCTCTCCCCTTCCCTTCCTCCAAATAAACTTCTTTATACCAGATAAGTTTGGTGGCATAATCATATATCCTAACAGTAGGTGTGCTGGCTGCAGGGGGAAGTTAAGGCAGCAGTCAGCAATGTTTGTCTTACTGCCCAATTTCATCTTCTGTTCTTTCAGCATTCCATATCTCCATCTCAAGTTTTCTACTTGTCTCACTCTTCCAACTTTCTTAGTTGTTTTTCTATTGCTGTAAAGAGATGCCATGACCAAGGCAACTTGCAGAAGAAAAAATTTATTGAAGGCTTACAGTTCAGAGTGTTAGAGTCCATAATCATCATGGCAAGTAGCATGGCAGCAGGCAGCCAGGCCTGGGGCTAGAGTAGTAGCTGAGAGCTTTTGTCTGATCTGCAAGCACGAGACACATATGTGTGTGTGCATGTGTGTGTATACACACACATACATATATACATATACACCTATCTATCTTTCTATCACATATATGCATATATGTATATACATATATATAACTTACATGTGTGTACATACATATATAACATACATGGTATATACACATATATAGCATACATGTATATACATATATAACATATATGTATATACATACATATATATGGTAGATGACAGATAGATAGGTGGATGATGAGAATGTCTTAGTCTTTTGAAACTTCAAAGCCCACCCTCAATGACACACTTCTTCGGAAAAGGCCACACCTCTTTCTAATACTTCTCAAATTCCAGTTCCACCAATTAGGAATCAAGCATTGAAACATATGAGCCTGTGAGGTCCATTTTCATTTAAACCACCACACCAATCAATACTATTTTGAGCATCCTTTTGTGATATAAGCTTGTCTGGTCAGCTGTAAAAAAAAAAAAGTTTTATAAATATGTTATTCATCATGTTGTAGAACAAATGATCCTAATGCTTTCCCACAGTTTTTCTGGCAGGTGCCTATTGGGTATAGAATTCATCATTCTCAATGCCCACTGGATGGCTCTTCTGCCCTAGTAAACAGCACACAGCAATTAGAGCGATTAGCTGCTTACAAAGCTGAGGTCTGAAAGTCCATTCTACTCCACTTGTCTTTGCCATCTTCTCTGTGAGTTATCGTGGCACGGAGAGGGTTGAATTTAGTTTGGAATGCTAATAACATGACAACTATCCCATACCACTTTGATAAATCTGCCCAAATCATCTTAATTCAAATGTTCTACTGATTCAATACATGTTATCTAGTTGGATTCAAGCAATCCAGAATCTCTCTTCACAACAGAGCCATAATACAAGATGAAAGTCAAACCCAGACTCTGGGATTTTACAAGCTTTATTAGGGAGACAAATTATTCCCATTCAAATATAATTTTTCTCATTGGTATGTAGGCCAACAAGCAGCTGAATGCACGGGCACATTTTAGCAACCGTAGAAAGTCATTGTCATCTCATTTTAGGTCTACAAGCTCCTTGGGTTCATTCATATTTTTCTCCTAAATTCCTGGCAAAGTGATGTGTTATTTCAATAGTGGAGGTTTATGTCCTTCAAGCTCAGTATTGGAGAATCTTCAGCCACTTGCCTTTGAGAAGGAACATTCAAGGCGAACCCCTCACTTTCTACAGTCTTACTGCTTTTTCCTTCTCACTTATTACAGATGGTGTCAAGTGCTATCACATGCCTCCACGACTTGCCTGGACTTCCTCAGTGTAGGGTTTACCGGATAGTGTATTTCTGTACTTCCATATTTTTTTTGTTTTGTCTATAGGAACTTCTATGAATATAGATTCAAAGTTAGACAGATATGAATTCAAAGGCTGAAACTACCATTTACTAGCTATATGGTCTTTGGCATTTTTAAAATTTCCTAATGATTTATTTCTAAATTTATAAAATGAAGATATAGCATCAGTTAGGACTAGGTAAGATAATGTAGATAAAGTACTTGGCACTTCTTAAATGAAATTATGGCAGAAGGGTCTAAACCAGCATAAAAAAATATGACCGGAAACCCTACCCCATCAAGGCTGCTATGAAATAGACATGCGCAGGACAGGTGCGCATCATACAAATGGCCTGTGAAAGTGCCTGCAGGTACAGGAACCGCTGAGGGTCTAAGCTTTCTATCAAGTCGGGTCCCCTCTCCTTGAGAGTGCCCTCTTCCTTAACTAATTGTCCCTGCTGCCCTGTCAGTGTTCATGTGCCCCTCCATGTCCAAGAACACGGACATCCTGGCAAGTACCTTGTACACTCCAGTCCTCTCCTGAACAATATTACCTCTTTTTCTCTCCGAGACAACAGTTCTGTTACATGACATCATGCCAAGCTATTCTCCACTGCAAGTCCTTTCCAAGGTAATGCCATTTTGAAAAAGAAATATCCTGGGGGAAGAAGATTGATGTTAAAGGACTATACCTAAAATTACCCAATCTTATTCAATGTGAACAATTTGGGGGAGGTGTTATGAGAAAAACCCTTTAAAAGTTATGACATTAGGTGATTTTTATCTGTAGGTAATTTTTATGCTTACAGTAATGTCGGCCCTTGGCCTGGCAGGATGTCCTAATGAGCTGAAACCAGAGGTAGAAGCAGAGACTTGACCCTTGAAAGTCGCCCTCTGACTCTCACAGAGGAGCCCTGCAAACTCACACCTGCGCTCATGCATATACGTACTAGACACACACACACAAAGTAATAAATAAAATTAAATTATAAGATGAAATTATTAGTGCTGTCCCACCTAAAACAACTGTCAGGGCATCCCTGCCTCGCCACCCTATGGTTCCTCTGCCCCGGGCCTCGGCTGACACCATTTTTAACTAAATTGCTCAAGCAGAGGGTAGTAAGAGCAGGCCCATGCCCCCCCTCAGTACTGCTCTCTCTCCCTGATGCTTCCCAGAGCTGGCCCAGCCCTTCCCATTCTCATTTTCTCAGGACGATCTTTGACCCCTGTCTCCTCATCTTGGATCAGGCAGGGTCCTGGTGTCAGGGTGCTGACTTCTGAACACTCAGGGTGAAACCAAGTCCTGTGGGTGTTCCTGTGTTGGCTGACAGTTCCCAGAAACCTTCAGCGTTTGTCCTCAGCTAGAACAGGGAAGGGATATGAGGCAGGAAGAGGTTTGAATCCCTTAATTCGAATACCCAGCATAAAACCAAGCTACTCTAATGCTCCCTAACCTCCTTCCTCTTTTTGTCAACACATTTTTAAAAAAAAAAATTTCCTTTTCATCCAAAGACTTTCGCTGTCCTTTTTTCAAAGCAGAAGTTTCAAACATGTTGAAGTACAAAGAAGAGCGTAATTAATCTCCAAATGCCGACCCAGGCAACCTTTTGTCTATATCACTCCTCCTTATTTCATTACTTTAATTTTAACTTTTCATTTACCACCTATTGTATATTGGTCATATTCCCCCTATACCCTCTTTTTTCCTCTCTGCCATTAGTTCCCTTTGTCCCCCTAGATAGTTTTAATTCCTTTATGTTGTGTATTCATATATAATTCTATCTCTCTCTATAAAACATAGGAACCACAAATAAGAGAAAACATTTTTATTTCTGATCATTTGCTTAATATGATCATTTCTAGTTGCACCCATTTCCTGCAATGACGTGACTTTGTTCTTTTTTTTAAAGGCTGAAAAAAATTTGTGGTGTGTGCGCGCTACATTTTCCTTATTTTTCCTCTGTTGTTGGACACGTAGGTTGGTTCGGTAATTTAGCTACTGTAAAGAGTGCTGCATTTAGGCTGGAGAGATGACTCAGAGGTTACAGCACTCACTGCCTGTTCCTCCGAACGGTCTTGAGTTCAATTCCCAGCAACCACATTCTGACTCATAACCATCTGTAATGAGATCTGGTGGCCTGCAGGCTCGCATGCAGCCAGAATACTGTAGAAATAACAAACAAACAAACAAATAACTCTTAAGCCAGCAGTGGCAGTGGGGGTACAGTGGTGGTGTGCGCCTGTAACCCCAGCCCTTGGGGAGGCAGAGGCACATGGATCTCTGTGAGTTCGAGGCCAGCCTGGTTTACAAAGTGAGTCCAGGAGGGCCAAGGCTACCCAGAGAAACTCTGTCTCGAAAAACAAACAAACAAACAAACAAACATCGCTGTATTTGTCTTATTAGTCAACATTTTAACCACATTTATTTATTTATTTATCATGTGTATGTGGTGCACGCACAGACGCCGTGGGCTCAGAGGATGGCTCTCAGGGGTTAGCTCTTTCCTGCCACCCGCTGGGTCCCAGGTATCAAACCGACGCTGTCAGAACCCACAGAGAATAAAAACGAACAATCCGGGTTTTCTGACGTCGTTTTGAGAAAGGGTCCAATATAGCCCCCAGGTGGGCCTAGAGCTGTGGAAGGACGAGGATGAGGTTGAAGTCCTCCTTCTCAGCCTGCCTCTGCCTACGCTGAGATTACAGGGTGAGCGTCCACCACCCTGTTTAGGCAGTTCTGGGGTTGAACCCAGGCCCTCGGATGTGTTAGACCAGCCCCTACCCACCGAGCTACATGGAAGACTTATTTCATTATTTTTGCTTGTTGCTGGCATATTTTAAAGCTAGCCGGGAGCTTACCTTAGTGGCCTCTCCGCCTTTCTGATTCTAATACTGCGCAGAGCCATGCCGGCTTGGAGAGCGACCCCGGCCTCCCTTCCTCCCCTGCCAGGTCTCCATTGTTGCACATGAGCCGTTCTCAGCTGGTAACCATTCTTCACAGGAACATTGCTGACTACCTTCTCTGTTGCAGACGGTGTTTGCAGTAAAGGAAGAGAGGAAAAGAAGAAAGCAACATAAGTAACATTTACTGGGAAGGAACAGGTAAAGGCAATGTGGCATTAGGTTATAGGGTTATAGGCATGTGACCCACACAGAGATGATTAAAATCGCTTATTTAATTTGTGGAAGCAGAACCTAGTAACTTCTGAGGCTCAGAGGGTTAAAAAAAAAAAAAAAAAAAGGCTTCTGCGCATGCTCAGACTGGAACACAAAACCCCAGGGTTAGAAGAGCTCTTAAAACAGCATTTTAAACAACGACACAGTGTGTACATCAGCCTGCTCAGTTCTGTCTATTTCTTATTCTCTTGAGTTAGTAGTTATAGAGCTACTCCCTTTTGGGATGAAAAGAGTTTGGAAGGCTTGAGTCAGGCTACTGGTTCTGTCTAAAAGTTATGTATTACTAATTCCAAAGTCACCCTCGTATGTGGGTGTGGCTCTGTGGCAGTATGCAAGGCCCTGGGTTTGCGTCTCAGCCCCCTCTCCCATTTTTTTTTTTTTTTTAATTCTTATATCTCATCTTCCCTCTAGGCTTAGGCTGGGATCTGTGTGAACTCTGACCAGTCTGTATGCAGTGTCAGAACTGAGACCCTTCACCTCAGCAGCCAGCCTACCCCCTAGGCTCATTCAGGACCTGCATACTCTCTAACCAGCCTGTGTGAGTTCAGAGAACTCTGACCTATGGCTCTAGGCTCCTCTTAACCCCCCAGTCTGAATACACTGAGGCTCCTGGTCTCTGTAGTCAGACCTAGCCCACGAAACATTATACCTTATGCCTATATTCTATATGAACTCAGGTTTCAGAACATAGAGACTGTGTGAAACACCACCACTAGTGCCCACACACCAGGAACTCTGGTTCCTGAGGGCAGAGGTGAACCCTGCCATACCGTAGACCACTCTGTGAGGTCAGAGGCCAAGCTCCACCTACAACTGGGGAGTATCTCAACTAACCCATCTACAAATCATCACTGAGTTCTCTGTGACTGAGCTTCAGAAAACACTCGCCAAGCTGTTGTTATAAAGAAAGAAAATCCTGAATCCTTCTATTTTACCAATGAAGACTCAGGAATCAGATGCTGGGGTGAAAACCTGCTAGCTCAGAGAGGCAGAGAAAGCACCCAGCTGATCTTCTTACTCAGCTCAAGTCCCAGCAAGGAAAAGCCAAAGCTCCAGGCGAAAAGCTTGCTAGCTTAGCTGGTGGCCCTGGAGGAAAAGGCCTGCTTACCCAACAGCCCAGGAGGAAAAAGCCAAAAACTCAAAGCCAAAGAGATAAAGAGATAAAGGTCAAGAAGCTGAAGAGGTGAAGAGAAGAGGCCAAAAACCTCTTCTCCACACTGTCTTCAACACCCTTCAACTCAATGGCCCATTTTCTACTTTAAACCTTGTCAGCTGGTTTCTTGCTCTGCCTTTTGACCTAGGGTTCACTTTACTAAATTCTATATACAGAAAGCTCTGGATTAAAGGTGTTTGCTGGCACTGAACCACACCAAACAAAAGAGAGGTTTTTACAGTTCAAAGTCTCAGGGTTCCCTGAGATCAAATATCCTGCAACACCAAGCCAAGAGGAAAGGGTGACTAATGAGATCCGTCAAGGACCAACATGGTAGAACGAGAGAACTGGCTTCCATGGCATGCATGTGTGAGGGCCTGGAGAGAGGCTCAGCGGTTAAGAGCACTGACTGCTCTTCCAGAGTTCCTGAGTTCAATTCCCAGCAACCACATGGTGGCTCACAACCATCTGTCACGGGATCTGATTCCTTCTTCTGGTGTGTATGAGTATGAAGACAGAGCACTCGTGTGTGAGTGTGTATATATTAAGTACATATATATATTAAAATTTAATTTATATAATTAATTTAATTAAAAATCTATTTTAAAAGAAAATAATAAACTCCTGAACGAATCCCAAGAAAACATACACAGGTGACTGAAATAAGGAAGTCAATTCAGGATACAAAGACAGAACTCAATAAAAGGGTAGAAATAGTGAAGGAAAACCAAACTGGAATGGAGCTGAAAATGAACATTTCAATAAGTCAAATAAAAAGCTTAGCAAAAATTCTCACCAGAAGACTGGATCATGTAAAAGATAAAATGGTTTGGGTCAGAGAAACGGCTCAGTGAGTAAAGACACTTTCAACTCCGGTTCATTTAATCCTAGGAACTCTCAGAAAGGTGGAAGGAAAGCAGCATGGCAGTTATATGGCACATACACACCATTTTGTCTGTCTCTCTGTCTCTGTCTCTCTCTCACACACACACACTAATAAATATAGACAGATTTTAAAGGATATTAGGACTCGACCACAAGGTTGAGGAACTGAATTAGTCAAAGAAAATGACAACCTAAGAAACAAAATAAAAACAACAAACTCAAATACTGGCCGTCAAGACAGCTCAGCAGATAAAGCCATTTGTCACACAAGTCTAGTGAATTGAGTCCAGTCCTGGAACCCACACAGAACCCATATAAAGTGAGAGAATCAATTTTACAAAGTAGCTCTCTGGTTTTTCATGGGTGTACCATGAAAACCATGGTATCCATGCCAATACACATTTATCAAATACACACAGTAATAATTGCTGGAGCCCTCCCCCCCCCCCAGCAGAGTTGAACAGTTCTTGAGCGGGGAGTGAGGATTGAATGAAAGAAAATTTAAAAACCAACACACTATACATGGGATCTGTTCGAGAGGGCTCCAGTAGAAACTGTCACACCGGTTTATTCCACAATCCCTTTTTATAGTCAAAGCAAAGCACCTCAGTACAATGAAGGGGTTCATGGAGAAGTCAAACTTGTTTACCTTGACCACCTGTCTGTGTGATCCTTACACAAACAAAAGGAAGTGAACTTGCTAAACATCCTGTCTATCCCTGTCTCCAGGTGAAGGCCAGGGTGAAAACATGTTTTTCTCTGAGAGCTCAATAACAGAGCAGCCTGACAAACAAGTGGCTCTCTGCAAATAATGAATTGGAAAGTCATCTCCACATCAAAATAATAAAACAAAGCAAGCCGCATGGACCGAACATGCAGGATCTCTAGGATGCCACGAAAAGACAAAATGTATGAATTGTGGGAATAGGAAAAGAATTCCATGACAAAGGCTTAGAAAGTATTTTCAGCAAGATCGTTGGAGAGACTATCAAATAGCACCTGAAAAGAAATTTCCACATAATAGACTGGTCATAACACTAAATATAAAGAACAAAGAAAGCACATGGAAGGGCTGGAGCTAAAGCTCAGAGGTTACGAGGACTGACTACTCTTCCAGAGGTCCTAAGTTCAATTCCAAGCAACCACATAGTGGCTCACAGCTCACAGCCATTATATAATGAGATATGGCGCCCTCTTCTGGTGGGCAGGTGTACATGAAGACAGAACATTGTACACATAATGAAGGAAGGAAGGAAGGAAGGAAGGAAGGAAGGAAGGAAGGAAGGAAGGAAGGAAGGAAGGAAGGAAAGACACTGAAATCTACAAGACAGAAGGGTCCAGTTACATCCAAAGGTGGGCCATCAGTGTAACAGGCAATTTGTCAGTGTAAATTCTAAAAACAGAAAGGCATGTAATGGATGTATTTTTACTTTTTCAAGATCACAAGTATCAGCCCAGACTACTATATCCAGCAAAATGACCTCTCACTATTGAAGGAGAAATTTTAAAAAGTGTCCATTACAAACCAAAGGATTTTATTACTATCAATTCAGCTCTACGGTGAATACTGGAAGGAGCACTGTGGACTCAAGAGAAGGATAAACACATCCAAGAGGTTACAAGGGAAAAAATTAATGCTCAGACAGTCCCAAGTAAAAGAGAACCAAGAAGACACCAATGTAAACCTTTCAATGTACGCTGGATCTGGTGGTGCACGTCTTTAATTGCAGCACTTGGGAGGCAGAAGGAAGGTAGATCTTTAGGAGTTTGAAGCCTGCCTGATCTGCATAGCAAGTTCACTGTCTCAAAATCAAGCAAATAAAACAAACAAACAAACAAACAAAAAAACAAAAAACAACTTTGAATGTTAATAGTCCAAGTAAAAAGACACAGGCAGCAGATTAGATCTTAAAACCGATCCCTTCTCTTTTTGTTTGCATGGGTGTGTTTGTTTCTTTTTCGGCCCAATCTAGTTGGTGTTCTGTATGCTTCTTGTACCTTTAGAGTCATCTCCCTCTTTAGGTTAGGGAAATTTTCTTTTATGATTTTGTTTGAAATACTTTCTGGAACTTGGACCTGGGTTATTTTTTCTTCTTGTATTCCTATTATTCTTAGATTCGGCTTGTGCATAATGTCTTGGGTTTCCTGGGTGTTTTGGGTTAGGAGTTTCTTTGTTTGTTTTGTTTTGTTTTTGTTTTTGTTTTTTTAGATTTAACATTTTCTTTGACTAATGTATCCATTTCTTCTATTGTGTCTTCAACACCTCAGATTCATTTTTTTCATCTTTTGTATTTTGTTGGTGAAGCTTGCCTCTGTAGTTCTTGTTTGAATTTCTAATTTTTCATTTCCATAATTCCCTTAGTTTGGGTTTTCTTAATTAATTCTGTTTCAGTAGTCAGGGATTGAACAGTTTTATTCACTTCCTTCTACTGTTTGCATTTTCCTGGATTTCTTTAAGGGATTTATTAATTTCCTTCTCAAGGACCTCTACTATCTTCATACAGGCAGTTTTTATTTTTTAAGGTTTATTTATTATGTATACAGTGGTCTGCCTGCAGGCCAGAAGAGGGCACCAGATCTCATTACAGATGGCTGTGAGCCACCATGTGGTTGCTGGGAACTGGACTCAGGACCTTTGGAGCCATCTCTGAGCCATCTCTCCAGCCCCGTACAGGCAGTTTTAAGGTCTCTTTCTTGTGTGTAAGCTATATTGGAATATTCAGGGCCTGCTGTGGCAGGATTTCTGGGTTCTGGTGGAGACATGTGGCCCTGCCTGTTACTGAACTGCTTTTGCTGGCATCTAGGCATCTGGGATTGGAACCATCATAGCTCTAGATACTGACACCAGGCTTTGTGTTTGTTAGGTGGGTGTTTTGTTTATTGCTTTTTAATTCCTTTTTGGATTTTAAAAGAAGGTGATGGCTATGTGTTGTCTGGTAGAACATTTTCTGTGAACTTGATAGTTGTGGCCACTGGAGGTTCCAGGTAAAATGTGTTGCTGGGCATTGGGAGCTGCCGCTTAGGAATGAGGCTAGGCTAGGGGTCTGGGGGGTCCACAGGAGAGAGAAAAGTACAGTGTTCCAATGTGACCTGCTTATTTCGTCTCCTTGGAATTGGGGCGGGGGAGATGGCCAAGGGAGATCACCCCAGAAGGTCTGCTCTAGCACTGTGCATGGGACTGGGGGGGGGGTTGGATCTACAGGAATAGGATGAAGGGGGGAGTCTACAGACACCCTACTTGCCTCCCTGGCAGGAGTGGCCTGTGGGTCAGCAGGGACTGTCCGCTGGAATTAGGGGCTGGGATAAAGCAATGAATGGTGTAGGGAGAAATTAGGAGGGGAAGGCCTGTGGGATCCATGGGAGAAGTGGGCATGGGTGGGGAAGGAAGGCTGCAGCAGGTTTTCTGTTGCAGAGTTATTGATGAGGCTGGGGGACTGGGTTTGGAGAGAGGAGGGGATGGTGAAGATCTTCAGTTAGCTTACCCATTTCCTTGGCCTGCTCATCCGATGCGTTCCCAGGGAATGCCTGCATGTTTGAGGGTAATGGGATGGGTTTGGGGAAGGAAGGTTGGAAGAGATCTTTGGATCCATTAAGGATGGGGTCAGAGAGAAAAGAGAGACCAAAGCAGGTGTTCTGTTACAGAGCTGGGGATGTGACTGGGGTGTAGGATCAGTGGTAGCAGAAGAAGAGGTGAAGATCTACAATGAGCCTACCTTCTTCCCTGGCAGGAGTCTGAAGAGTAAATATGAATGGCTACTAAACACCTTAATAAGTGATTCATAGTGATTCACTGGGAAGGGTGGTGCATAGTGCACACTTTAACACAGCACTTTCTGGTTGGGCCTCAACTTCCATAACAAGGTTGTTGGTTATCCTTCAGACAGTCATGCTTTCTTTTTCTTTCTTCTTCTTCTTTTTTTTTTTTTTTTAAATATTTGTCCCAGAAGTGGAGTCTGTGAGAAACAGAACTTTTGAGACAGAGGGATTCAGGGTTTCTGGGAACTACTAGATTTTTGTTGTTGTTGTTGTTGTTCTGGAAGTTTCTTTGGCACCAGAGCGAGGTGACTGTGGTTTGTCTTGTTGTTTATATGTTATTAGCAAAACTCCTCCAGCAGTACAGAAGCTTCTAAAATTAGTCACATAGAAAGAACCAAACAGTCCAGTAACCCCCTCAAAGAGTTCTAGTCTGCCAAATGGACCCAGGGCCTGAGTAGGTGAGTCAGAGAGACTGCAGAGATTATTGGGGGGCTAAAGAATTATAAGAATGGAGCTGGAAGTCTTGTGTTCTATGAATTGTGATCAGGCTTATGGGAGTTCATTCTACAGATGTGAATTGTTACAGTAATGACCAAGCCTGACTTTTCTGGTACCTCCCTGCAATCCTAGTACCGGGAGGCGGAGGTAAGAGGAATGAAATTCACGAAATCAAATTCACGGCCAACCTGAGTTACACAGTGAGACCTTGTCTCCAAAAGACCAAATAAAAAGTGAATTATATAAATAACAAAAAAGGTCAACGTAAGCATTCAAGATTGTTTTTGTCATCAGGGATAGACACCTGTTTTTTAGGGCCGGGAGAAAGCTGTTCTCAATTGGAGCCAGTTACCAGTCTGTAGGCAGGTAGGACAAGATGTTGACACAAAAACATAGCTCTCATCTTCAAGGAAATAAAAGATAGATATTTTGAGTGAACATGGCCCAGGAACACAGGTTGGTGTTATCCCAAATTCTGTATTCCAATGGGAAAGCAGTTTCATAAATTTGACAGTTTTACAGAAGGATGAAAGCCATAAATCAAGGCAGATTTAAAACACCTTTGGGTACATCCGGGAGGTGGGCACAGTGACATGGAGGAAGCTTTTCCATAGGCATAAGATGCTGTCTGACGGCACTCTTAGCCTTGGTGTTGCTGGAGACTAGTGGTCTGCTAAGTTAATAAATTTCAAAAGATTTCTATCAGTCCCAAGATGTTAGTTCAGATACGGGGGAAAAATGGCTGTTCCGGAAGGCTAGAATTAGTCCAAGATAAAGTAATTAGCCTCCGGACCTGCAACATTCCAATCTTTCCACAGTAAAGCAGTTCTAATCAGTCAATCTCTGCAGACACAGCTTCAAACAGGAGATTTTGTCCACAAAGGCAGGAACAATGGGTGGCACCTGGCAGAGCAGGTGCCCCTCCTGCCCCTCCATACTCTGCTAATGTGGCTCATACAGGTCAACAAACATCTTGTGTCTTCAACTTTATCATAAAACTGGAGAAATAAGTCTAACCCTCTTCTGGAAAGAGGTCTGGGAGGGCCATATGAGATTGCTTATGGGAAAATGAACGAAATCGTGAAACCCTCTATGTAAATCCTCAGACCTCGACTGCTCCTTCCAGCGAATTACAAGAACGGCCTTTTCCTCTGCCTGAAGAAGACATTGAGCCAATCTACATAGCTGGTTTAGTGGGGAGCAGGGAAGGTTTTAGTCTCTACTTACACGTTGGCTGGCCACTCACGAATGAAGTCTACCTCAAAAGCCAAAACAAGCAAACAAACACCCCGATCTTACAGAACTCCCAAACCCTGTTTGGCAACCCTGCCAGATGACTACAGAAAACACGCATCTAGGGGTGGTTCTGGAAACCATCTTTGTGGTGTCTTAACACTCCCCAGATGGTTTGAAACCGAGCTGGAGAATGTACTGTCTATTGTACACTGAGCTTACTGGTTTTATTCACCACATGGAGGAGCTGATGGATTGCTCTGCTTTGGCATTCTTTTTCAAGGGCCAAATAACTGCATTTACAAAATCTGGATTTTTTTTTTTTAAACTGCAGATAGTTAAATGAAGTCATGATACGGTTGTCAAATGTGAAAAGTAGTGTTGGAAGGGTGACACAAATACAAGGAAAACAAAACAAAACAAACAAAAAAAAACCAAGACACTAGAAACGAACATTTCAGAAGTGATACGAAAGGGTTCAAGGCAGTACGTGTAGAAAACAAAGACAATCAGGCTTGGAAGTCATGCACAAAGTAGGACTGCCCTAAGCCACGGGCCAGTGGGTGTATCTCCAAGTACAACAGTTCACCGATGAAATAAACCCGTCTGCAGTTTTCCTGGCTGGAAGACACTTCCTGCCATTGCCTAAATTGCCTTACTTCAAAGGGTTTGTGGGAGTGGAAAGGCAAATTAGCTGAATGTGTTTATTCCATGCTGGGTAGAAAAAGAGGGGAGAGGAATGGGTTCAGGAAATCCGGCTGTGTTTAAAAGCCCACAGCACACAAAGAGGTAGGTATTTTTATGAAGGGCAGCTTCTGGGTACTGCTCACAGAGAAGAGGGCTCTAGGAGAGCAGGACTCGGGGCACAGGAAGAGCCAAGACTATCTGAAGCTGCTTACAAGTATAGGTAAGCCACAGCAGTGATGGATGCCTCAGGGAGCAAACCTGAGCCATGCTAGGCAGTATCTCTACCAGCTGAGCCACACCCACAGCCCGTTTGTTTCATTCTTTCTAAATTTCTTTCTTTCTTCTTTAAAACAAAAACTCTGGCAAGTTTTACTAAAGAAAAACCTTCCTGATTTATTTCTCACCAATCCACTCTGGCAATCTTCTAATAATGAGAGAATCACTTGAGCCAATCATAGCCATATGCACATTCTGGTTATTTTCCACACGCTCTGCCCAATTTGATATTATTGCTACCGTAACGATGGACCAATGTTGGCCGAGAGCATAGAATTCGATTTTGTATTTCTTCAAAGCTGGGCAGCTGTTGACCAGGATGGCCAATTTTGTGCTTCCCTGTCTGGTCAACTCAGAATTTGCTTATACACAGCATAATCTTCCACTGTTCACAAGTTGGAGCCTAGAGCTGCTGACTCCAAAGACTGTCTTGCTTTCAGCTACCATCTTCCTGCCCTAGCTGTGGGATGGCCCTCAACCAAGACCAGCTGCCGAAATAGCTGACGAGTGGGAAAGCCTTATTGCATGTCTTCCCTAATTACAAATAGACACTCAAATGACAAGATGTAGCAGAGGCCCGAGCTATGCTTTAGGAGTTTTGCTTTAGGAGTGAGAATGAACCTAGTACTTTTTCTATTCATTTTTATCTCTTTTTTGGGAGAAGGGTAATAATAACAATCAAAATAAACCTGGGATAAACATGGGTACATCATCTACTATGATTCCAGTCCTTTACCCAGAGAAAAGTTTTCTGTAAGAATTTCTCCGTGCTGATTTGGCTTAACGGCCCTGTTTGGTGATTTGGAAGTAATTTCTGTTTAAGAACTGACTGGTGAGCTAGGGCAAGGGCTCAGAGGGAGATTTCTTGCTTAGCACGTGCTCCAGCACCACAAATCAAAGGATGGTGTGGCCTCAAGTTCCCTTATAGAGTCCTCAGATGAAAACCAGTTTCAAACCACTTCCACTGGTCACTTTCCAACCTTCAAGACCCACATTTTATTACACAGGAATGAGGAATGTGGTGAGAAAGGCCAGAAGAAGTATTCAAGAAAGAGGTTCACTGCTCTAGGTAGCCGGAGTAATGTGGAGGACTGAACGGAGAACCCAGAAGCCTGTTTTGCTGGCTTTGGCGAACCATGACAAGAGACCCTATATCTAACCTTCATTTTCTTCCTCTTCTCCAGGCAAAATGAAGGTGACAATGGTGAATCTGTTGTTTATGATGTTGCTGCTGCTGCTAGGCCTGGGCCTGGGCCTCGGCCTGGGCCTTCACATGGCTGCTGCTGTCTTGGAGGAGAGTGATAAGCCACTGGGTGAGTTTTGGCCCGGTGATCCCCAGGACACAGCTGAGGCCACTGAAGAGGGAAAGGGCACCAGGACCACAGAAGCCCTGGTGCTTGGCTACAAAGAAATGGTACAACCTGTCTGGCCAGAAGAGACTGCCCTCAATGAAGATGAGGTTGGAGGAAGCAGGATGCTGAGGGCTGAGGCGCTCTCTCAGAGCAAACAAGACTACCTTAGGTATGACTTCAGTAATAGAGACTGTAATACTCTCATGGCACACAAGCTGAAGGAGCACAATCAGAGTTGCCTCGGCCAGTACACGTTCATCCACGAGGAACCGAGCACCGTCAAAGCCGTCTGTAACAGTCCTGTGGTTGACTGCGACCTCAAGGGTGGCAAGTGTCACAAAAGCTCCCGTCCTTTTGATCTGACGGTGTGCAAGTTGTCCAAACCAGACCAAGTCACTCCCAACTGCCAATATCTGACTTACATAATTGAAAAGGTCGTTGTCATAGCATGCAAAGAAGATACTATGTAAGCAACTGGAGGTTAAATGAAGCAACTCATACTTTCCCCTTCTCTTCCTCTCATTGTCTCTCTTCTTTTGCATTTCCATCTGCTGGTGTTTCTGACCCCCATTGGGTGCACTAACTATAGGGAAGATCTTGGGAAGAGAGGATGGACCCTTGCTGATCTTTGTCTTCTGAAAATATAATTATTCTTTGCATTAGAGGTCATCTAACTTGCATTTTGTTCTGGGGTCAGGAATGGCAACGTAATAATGCCTAGTCTCTCCCAGATGGCTCACCTTCAGTGTCTGCCCTGCAAAGGCCAAGCTCTAGACCCTACCTTAGCCGTGGTCACCAGCCTGACCCTGGATGAAGCACACCTCCGGCCTGGGCTGGAATTGCTTAATGTCTCTTTAACCCTCTTTTCCTGCTACCCGCATGAGGCCTCTGTGGTAACCACAGACTCCCGGGCCCTGCGCAGAGCAATGAGCTTTTCTGCTGCAAATGCAATTAAATCGACTCTAGTCTGCAAAGCCATGTGGTTAGGCTTCTTTTGCCGAGCCTGGAAAATTACAGAACCTGCTCATACGGTGGCATAGGGTGTAAGCCAGACGAACAAGGGCTTGAGTAAGGACCCATTTTTCCTCACCCTTCCCCACCCCCTGTTCCTTTCCTCTTATTTTCATAACCTTCCTCTTTTCTTTTTCCTTTGTTTCCTTCCTCTATGATATTTTTCTGTGTTCTCCTTTTCTTTTACCTTTTCTTTTTGGGTCCTCATTTCTGCAGGTTTTTGTTTGTTTGTTTGTTTGTTTGTTTGTTTGTTTTTGCCAGCCAGCCAACATGTGGTGTTTGAACTATACTGGGTAAGCAGATGTTGGTCCCGTAGGCTGAGTCTGGCATAAGGAGTTTGAGGTTAGGTGGGGGTGGGGAGGCTGTTCTGGGTTGTCAACTTGACTACATCTGAAATTAACTACAACCCAAGCAGCTGGTCATACTCTGATAGATTTTTCTTAATTAAATCATTTGAAATTTGGAAGAGCCACTTTTGATCTAGGTCACATCTCTCTGTGACAGCCTATACAAAGGACATGGGAGAAGGAAGCTCTCTCTTTTTGCCTGCTTGCCCACACTCTTGCTGACAATTTTGTTCCTTGATTGGCATCAGAATCTGCTTCTTTGGGATTCCACTGTATACTGATGACCATCTGAGACTTTGGGATTTGCCAGATCCACACATTCCCATTATCCTGCCTCTACTTACTATACTTCAGCTAGATATTGGTCAGAGTTCTGTTACTGTCATAAAATACCTGAGAAGTAACTTAAAAGGAGGAAGCATTCACTTTGGGTCCTCTGGAAAAGCAGCAAGTACTTGCTACTGAGCAATCTCTCTAGTTTCCACAATTTTGCTTTTTTAAACTCCTAAAGATTCCAAGTTCCAAATAGCATAGGCCTCAAAAGTTTCAGGTAAGAGATGGCCGATAGTATATATGTACACACACACACATTTATAGGTCAGTGTGATCTATTTAGTGATTATCCATCCAGCACCTCCTCAGAAGTTATAATAATTACACTGAAACATAAACCCCCTTCAGAGAACTGAGAGGTTCTCATTCCTGTCAAGCACTATATAAGCAATATTCAAAGGGCTTCAAGTCTTCCCTTTCTAAGACAGCAGGAAGAAAACTACCATTGTACATCAGGCACACTCCTATAAGCTGTCCTTGGGTCATTTGGTTTTTTAAAATTACATTTAACAGAAAAGTAATAAGCTCACAGAGGCCCCACTGCATCGGTGACTTCTCTGTTGCTGTGACAAAATGCCCAGCGCTAGACATTATAAAGAAAAACACATTTATTTAGTTCACAATTTGAGAGACTGAAAACCCAAGTTTGGGTGTGGTGTTTGATCTGGTTGTGGTGTATCCTTTGGGTGTGGTATCTGAGTGAGGAGCCTCCACAGTCTTGGGCCAATTGGTGGCGATGTTTGGGAAGGACATCATTGGGAGCAGCCACTGAGATTAAAAGCCTCAGGCCACTTCTAATTTGCTCTCTCTGATGCTGGTGCTTGAGGATATGAGCGCTTTGCTTCCTGCTCCGCCAACCATACCTGCTGTTTCCTGCCATGCCTTCCCACCACTGCGGGCTCTTTGCCTCTCTGCAACCGTAAACCCCAATAAACTCTTTATTATTTAAGTTTCTTCTGGTCTTGTGTTTTGGCACAGAGACAGAAAAGTAGCTAAGATGCTGAGAAGCTCCATCAGTTCAGCCTCTGGTGAGGGTTCCTTCAGGATCACAACACGATAGGTGACATCATGGTACAAAAGAGAGGAACATAAACAAAGACAGGAAGCTAGAGACTGTGAAGCAGAAAGTTTTGCTCTTTTATAATAACCTAGTCTCGTGAGGACAAATGTCTCCATAGGACCAGCACTGACCCTTTCAGGAGCAGACCTCCAGTGACCTAACTTACCTCTCACCAGACCTCACCTTCCCCTTAGAGGCTCTTCAGCCTCGTAGCCCCAAAGAGCAAGCCTGTATCACACATGAACACTTCAGGAAAAATCCACACCAAAACCATAGTTCCATCTTCTGTTAGCCAAGTCCACCCGGCTGCTCTGCGCCTGAGGAGGCTCACCGCACTTCCCTCTCCTGTCTGAAGCATCACTGAGTTTCCTGTCCTGTGCTCAAAGGGACAAGATGCAACTCTAAGTAAAGTTTGGAGGCTTGGATTCTGTATTGTATGTTTTTTTTTTCTTTTTTAATCAAGCCCAAAGCATTTGCATGCCAGAATGGTGTTACGTCCTTGTAATCTCAGCACTAAGGCAGGAAGATCTTGAATTCAAGGCTACCCTGGGCTAAATGTAAAATTCCAGGACAGACCAAGAAGCACGGGAAAACCTGCTTCTAACAAACTACAGATTCTCTCTCCCTCTCTCTCTAGCATGCACACACACATACACACTAAGCATTTAAAAAATGATCTTGTTATTTATTTTTCGATTTTTTTTCTGCAACATAGCTTATTAAAAATAGTGTTTTCATGCACTATGTTCTGATCATGGTTTTCCCTCCCTCATTTCCTCCCAGATCTTCCTAACTCCCCATCCTTCCAACTCTATGCTTTCTTTTTTTTTTTTTTCTAAGAAAGAAACAGGCATATAAAAAGGTATGCAGTCAAGAATAAAACAAAACAAACTAGCAAATGAACAAACAAAACGAAACAAAGAGTGTGAGAAATACATACACATGTAGGTACACACAACCCATAAAAACACAAAATCAGAAACCATCATATGCAAGCAAAAGACAAGTAATGTAGAATAAAAACTGCCCAAACCAATCAATATGAGACAAAAAAAAAATTTAAAAAAACTAAAATACTATCAAGTTTCTTCTGTGTTGGTCATCTAGTGGTGGGCATGGGACCTGCCCTCCAAGTGTGGTTTGTAGACCCACTAGGGAAAAGGAATTTGTCCTTTGTAAGCAGTTATCAGTTGGAGATAGCCTTTTGTTTGGGCATGGGCGCTCCCTCTCAGCATTGGGACCACATCCAGCTCGACCCTGTGTCCAGCCTGTGTAGACCCAGTCTCGGTGAGTTCATACATGCATCAGTCCTTGGAGGACGCTGTTTCCTTGGAGTCGTCCAGCCCCTGTGGCTCTTATACTCATCTTGCCCTCTATTCCACACAGACCTCAAGCCCTGAGGGGGCGGTGGAGGGTTAAGGAAGATATCCCATATAGAACTGTGTTCCGAGCTCTGCACACACTGTCCAGTTGTGGGTCTCTACGTTAGTCCTCATATACTGCAGGAAGAGGCGTCTAGGAGAACGGCTGAGGGAGATGCTAATCTAGCAGGATGTTGTGACGAGTCCACTTATTGCTATGTTCCTTTAGCAGAGTGGCACTGTTGGATTTTCCCCTAGGTTAATGGCCTATCTAGTCACAGGTACTTGGCTACACAAGCAGGACTGGCTTTCATGTCATGTAGTGGCCCTTAAATCCAAACAGATAGTGATTAGCTACTTCCACAACTTTTGTGCCACTATTGCGCCAACATTCTACAACATATTTTTTTTTATATATTTTTCTCTTTCATATTTAATGGCATAGAGATACATACACATGCATATGAGGGAACAAAATGCTGATGCCAGAATTTATCATGTTGCTCTGATTGAAAGTAATTTTTAGTTTTTAATGTCTACAACATATTTTGAACGTAATCTTTTCACTCCTCAAACTTCTTCCAGATCCTTCTCCATCTTCCTTTCTAAACAACTTCATGTTCTTTCTCTCTCTTAAAACATTTCTAGTGCTTAGCGCAATTCCCGTGTGAAAACATATGATTTTATTTGTAAAAAAGTTACATGTATAAACTTAAACAAGGAGGACACCAATAGACATGCTGATGCAGATGAAGGGAAGCTCAGGAGGCCTCAACCCTCCCTACACAAAGAGCTGCAGGCAACTAGGGGATGCTGAGAAGGGAGAGACAGTCTTCCCCAGGGAAGAACACACCCATTGGCTATTCAATACCACATGGAGAGCCCTGAAAACACATACACAGAAGTAACATTATATAGACTGAGCAGGTCGTATTTATATGTCTAATAATAGATTTACTTATTTATTTCTGTAAGCATATGCACACACACATAAGTACGTAACAACAGTTAATAAAAAGAAGCCATGTGGCCTCCAGCAGGACCAGGATTTCGTCTTTGTTTTTGATTTCCTTCACTGCTAAGGTGAGGAGTCCCATTTCTAGATAGAGGGGCCCTAGATTTTGGCTGTGGGTACGTAGCGACGGTTTCGCCCTTTCTCCAGTGAAGTTCTTGGGTTAATGCCAGAAGCTCAGATCTTTGTGCTGAAGTCCCCCGGTTGAGAGACTTGATCCACATTGTTCTGTCCAAGGTGGCAACCTGATTCCATTCCAAGGAAAACTTCTAGAATCAGTAGACACTACCTCTTCCACTTCTCAGAGCAGGATTATCTGTGAGGTCAGGTCCTATGGACTGAACCTCATTGGTCACCTCCAGGCAAATATGGAGGGGCTTCGTTAGGTTATTGTCTGGCAATAGACTGGCTGGGCTGATGGCT